CTTCTTTCTCTCTTCCTTTTCTTTCTTGCTCTCATTCCTTCCCTCCCTCCCTCCTTCCTTCCTTTCTTCTTTCTTTCTCTGTTTCCTTCCTTCCTCCCTTCTTTCTTTCTGCTTCCTTCCTTCTTTCCTCTTTTTCTTCCTTCTTTCTTTCCTTCTTTCTTTTTGTCTATCCTCTGCTTCTTTTCAAAAAGGACTTAATGTAGCTTACAAGAAAGGTCAGGCAAGTTGGAGGTAAAATATAAACAGAAACAGAAAACAAGATCAGGAAAAGAGAAACAAGAATACATTCATTATAAAATGTAACATTATTTTCATAAGCAAAATTTACCTATTTTTCCCCAGCATTAGGAAACAGAGAGATTAGAAGAAGCAAAATAAATTATATAGATTGTATTAAGAAAAAGAAAGAAATATACACTTTCTCAGGTGGACAAATTTGTTATTGTTACCTGAATTTAAATGAAAATTTTAACATGGGTTTTCTATGACAGACAGAGATACGCCTACATTCCTTTTTTAATTTTAATTTAATTTTTTGAGAAAATAAAGAACTCATAGCCTTCCAGGGATCTAATAATACAAGAAAAATATCTAGATTCCAAAGGAATCTGTATGCTAGAAAAAATCTTGAGATCACACAAGATTGAATATTAGATTGATTACCTTAAACAGTATTTAAGTTACTTTGAGCTTTAATATTGATTGGCAGAAAATTAAAGATTATAATCTTCAATAAAGTAGGATTTTCTGATTTTTTTTTCTTTCATTCTCCCCTTCCTTTAAATATATAAAAATACATTTTCGACTGGGACTGTGAGAAAGCAAATGTGTTCTCTTAACTCTTTCAAAGATTTGAAGAACTAGGAAATGTTTGGGGTGAAGGTGTGTGTTAGTGGTGCTAACAGAGAATCCTTACCTCATAAGAATTGAGCCCATGCAGGTTGCAGTGAGCTATGGTTGCACCATTGCAATCCAGTACAGAGCAAGACCCTGGAAAGATGGAAAGAAAGGAAAGAAGGAAGGAAGGAAGGAAGGAAGGAAAGAGAGAAATTGGTACAATGTCTGCTAAATTATTCTATTAATTATATTTAATTCTAGACCAGGCTTAGTGCCTCACACCTGTAATCCTAACAATTTGAGAGGCTGAGGCGGGCAGATCACTTGAGGCCAGCAGTTTGAAACCAGCTTCACCAACATGTGAAACCCGGGTCTACTAAAAATACAAAAATTAGCTGAGCATGATCCCAGCTACTCGGGAGGCTGAGGCAGGAGAATTGCTTGAACCCTGGAGGTGGAGGTTTCGGTGAGCTGAGATTGCACCCCTGCACTCCAGCCTGAAGTGCAGCAATTACACATTATTTCTTATTCCTATTTTAAACCCTCCAAAAGTCAAAAAATTATTTACTTCTAATGTATACGGAAATATACCAACAGACATATATTTTAAAACAGCAAGGTTAAGTAGTAGATTTATTCAGAGTACATTTCATTTCAACATGCCGTGAAAGCAGCAGATGAGAAATTTTCTTAGGAAATGGAGAATCAAACTTTAAAATGTAATCAAAATCTTAAATCCAGCAAAACTTTAAATTTTCTCATTTATTTCCCAGAGCAAAGCTTCTCTTGATAAATACTTTCCTCAGGGCTGATTTTACATCCTTATTCCTAAGGCTATAGATCAGTGGGTTCAACGTTGGGGTTACCAGATTATTCAATATCTGAATTATGGCACTAAGCAGAACACTGGGATTGGGTTGCAGATAGATAATGATGACTGGCCCGTAAGTACAAAGGATTGCAGTGAGGTGAGCACTGCAGGTGGAGAAGGCTCGTTGCCTGCCCTCTGCTGAGCGGATTTTTGATATGGAGATCCCAATGCAAGTATAGGAAACAAGGATGGGAAAAAAGCAAATGAGAGACAAAAGACCAACATTTGTAAAACCTACCCTCTGGGCTAAGGATGCGTCCTTACAGGCTAGAGGTAACACTGCAGGTATATCACAGAAGTAATAGCCCACCTTGTTAGAGCCGCAGTAAGGTAACTGGAAGGCGAGGGAGGTTAGGATCACGGCGTGGACACAGCCACTCATCCAGGTCCCTGTGGCCAAGATAAAGCACGCCCTGTGGTTCATGATGATCATATATCTTAAAGGAAGACATATGGCAACAAAGTGATCACAGGCCATCACCGTGTAGAAGAAACACTCGGTACAGCCTAGGAAATGGTAGAAGAAAAGCTGGGACATGCAGCCTCCATACGAGATAGCGTGGCTGTTCCCTGAAAGACAGAACAGCATCTTGGGGAAAGTTGTTCAAGAGAAACCCAGGTCAAAGATGGTGAGGTTTCCCAAGAAAAAATACATAGGAGTGTGGAGCCGAGTGGAGGAGATGATAGCTGTAAGGATGAGCACATTTCCCAAGAGGGTGCATGAATACAATGAAGAGAACAGGAATAAAAGGGCTGTCTCTAGGCCGTCTGTCTCAGGGATTCCCAGAAGGATGAATTCAGTCACCATTGTGTGATTTCTCATTCTTAGGGAAGAATCAACTCTTGGGTGTCTGCGAAAAGAAATATGTGGTTAAATTTAATATGCATGTAAATTAGCTGTGTTTAGATCAACGAAATGGAAAAGCAGCAAGAGATCTAGATAAAGAGGAATGCTTCCTGGTAGAATTGTCTTGATCTGCCTGCTTTGCTCTGTACTAGATATCATTCTGCAGTGGTTTCTTTTCTTGTTTGTATTTTTTTTTAGTTTTATAGATTTAAGAGGTACAAGCGCATTTTTTTGTTTCATGGATATATTGCCAAGTACTGAAGTCTGGGCTTATAGCATACCAATCAACCAAATGATGTGCAATGTACACAATAGGTAATTTTCCTTCCCTCACCACCCTCTCCCACCCGAATCGCCTTTTAGAGTCTCCAGTGTCTACGATTGCACTCCATACATCCACATGTGCCCATTGTTTAGCTCCCACATATAAGTGAGAACACTGCGGTTTCTAATTGCAGATGCCTCACATTTAATAATTTCACCAAGAAGCCTTCCAAGACTAGTCCCACAGCTGCCATTCTTCATATTTACCACTGCACAGCATAAATTATACCTGTTCTAAAGGGACAAAAGTAAATACTTAATGTCTTTATAACAAACAAGGTCTCATCCAAATTTCTTATCTTCATCTATGACAATTTGGTTACAGTAACTCTCCAAAAGTCATTCATAATTCTGTAAGACATGTACAAAATATGAAGTATTTTTCCCTCATTGTCTTCCTGGCCATGAGGGTCAACAGTGAGAAATTATTCAAAAGAAAGATTCTTAGATAGCTCTTAATGAGCAGAAAATTACAATAACAAGTCCCTTATCCTCTGCAGACACCTGAATTCAGTGCACATGTGTATCTGGTAGACTTCATTTCTGTCTCCAAAGTGTCTATAATTGTCTAACCAGACCCAAGTAAGCCACATCCTAATTCTGTGGCAGCAGATGGTACAGGGGTAGCAGTAGTAAAGACTCCTTTCCAAGTTTCATACCTTAAAAAAATCCAATATATTTTTCTACTTTAAAAAATTTTTTAACAGTGAGATCTATAAATTATGGATCAACTCATGTATTCTACTACCTAAAATCTCTCTCTCGCTCTCTCTCGCTCTCTCTCTCTCTCTCTCTCTCTCTCTTTCCTGGAGATTGCGAAGGGAGGAAAAGAGTGAAAGCCAAGATAAAAAGGGAAGGGCAAAATGTGTGCACTGACATGGCAAACAGAGAACATAACTGGCTGATGCTTGTGAGTGTTGTCTTCCTTTTCTTCCCCAGCAGAAGGAAGCAGTTTGTGACTAAATCCCCATCAGCCTAGAGTCTACAAGTAGGTAACTAGAATTTTTGTTTCAATCACTTTCAAATAGAATGCCACAAATCTAAATATGCTTCAGCTGCCTCACAGTAATTTCCTGTCTAACTTTAGGAACTGCAATCATTCCTCAATACAGGACATTTTAAATAACCCTGGTCTTCCCTGGGGTATTAATCCCTCAACTCACGGAACTTTTTCGCAAGGGAACAATTAACTACTTGGTATAATTAGGCCTTAGAAATGAATGAGAGAAGAGAAGAGATAGAATGAGAGAGCCGATTATTACCATTTCCTTTGTAAAATATACTTCCATGGAAGAATATTTTTAAACTTTCCTTTGACACATATATCACACATATTTATTGTGTATTTTATATTCATGCTTTTTATGTGTATGTGCTATTTTTTATAAATAAATTATACCTTATTTTCCTACATAGTATTGACGGAATTGACTATTGCAAGCAACAGTAACTGAGGTAGCTCAGATAAACTAATGGAAAACTAGGCCCAGGAAGGGTGGAAAGTAGGGCAGCTGGAGGGATCTTAGAATTTATGGAGCAGCCTCAGGGCACCGCCATCAGCTGGTTCCACCTCAGCTGCCTTTCCTTCTGTGTGCCTCAGCCCAGGATTTGAATCTGACTTCCTTGGCTGAGTCACATGCCTATCTCTGTGAGCAGGGTACAGGCTACAGGGGTATGGAGATGGGCAGTTCTCCAATGGGGAGTGGAAGGGGATATTGTCAGAAGAAAGATGGAAGAAATTGCTGGGAATTCAAGAGTGTTAAGCTATCACTTGAAGTATCTGTCTTATACTACCTGGCGTCTGTTAAAGCTTCCAAATTAAATGGCTTCAATACTCAATACATATTAGGGGTTGAGATGGAATATGAACTTCCCCATTGAATACATTCTTTCATTTGTTTATTTATATATACATGGATTTCATTTATCTTAACAAATGTTGAGTGCCAATCATCTGTCAGCATTAATTATTTGCCAGGAAAGAGGGAAAGGTTGGGGGTAGGCATGGTGGGTTCGACATTGTCTCTCTGCTCAGAAAAAACATATAATCTATCTGGAAGAAAAATAATATTTTACAGTTTTGTTTAAACCTCAAAACTCTGATGAAATCCTCTATTTATGTCACCCACCACCAGTATTCAAAGGGGAGAGATACTCACCAGAGAATTTGTATCTAGGATTCAGGACAGCTGGGAGGACAAAGCGCAGAGCCCCATCTGTTTCCAGAGGCAGCTCCTGCACATACTTCAGGGTGACTGCCGCCTTCGACCCAGGTTGGAGGTTACCCACATTGCAAGAGAAGACATCCCTGGAGCTGCTGTCCTCCTCCAATAAGAAGGCCTGGTGGCCTTGAGAGATGGCATTCTTATAGTTGGTGCGGGCCTGAGAAGAACAGGGCGAGGGGTGGGAGAGAAAGGGAACATACGAGGTGACATGGCTGATGAAGAGATGAGTAGTGCAGAGCGACTGTATGTAACTGGTCTTGTCTAATCACAGCCATACTTTGAATGCCTCTGATTGATTTTTCCCCAAAATGATTTTAGGAAAATGGCAGTTAGAAAAGAGTGAAAGAAAGAACTTTCAACATCAGCATGTTTTGTGAAGGTACATTTAGTAGAGATCATAGCGTATGCATTAAGGAAATAAGAAGGGAGGAGGTAATCTCTACTACCTTCATCTTGTCTTGTAATTCTGCTACAATTTTCGTCCCATCCACCAAGGCCTCAAAGCTGTAAACAGCAGAGTCTTCGTCCATGGGGAACACAAAGACGGCCTCCAGAGGAACTTCCTCCTGATTCTCATAGTTCAAAGTTGCAGACACGCCAGCCACAAACTCATAAATGGACACGCTCACAGAGATACTCTTCAGTGGTACTGGGGATAGACCAAAAAAACCTGTGGAGGTATGTCATTTTCCCCATATTACAGATAAGAGAACAAATAACTTGAGGAGAGTGAAATATCCACAACAAATACATCACAGAGACCAAAATCAAGCTGTGTTTTCTATATGGATCATGTATTCTTTACCCGACAGTTTCTCAACAGCAATATGACACTTTAAGTCCCAGACAGAATGGGTTGTTTTGAAATAAAGAAGATGAGGATCTTGATCACGTCTAATGTTTTAGCCAGGTAATTGCGCATAGATATTCTCAGTTAATTGTTATCACAAACGTTTGGCTTCAGGATCCTGTAAGGGACCCATGACAGGAAAACTTGGGCTTCCCTGATTAGAGGTTCTCTCATTAGAGCAGAAGTATGTGACTTACACTATCTCATCTTTCCTCTTGCTGTAGGGAGGGTGCAACTTGGGAACAAATGACTCAAACTGGAGATAAGATTTCAATGATACAGTGTCCATAAAGCTTTGATTAGCAACGCCCAGGACACAGTAAGCCCTTGGCACTTAAGCATTTACAGAAATATGCAGTTTTTAATATCATTGTTGATGTTGTTACTCTTGTTACTGTTGCAGCATTTTCTCTTTCCCTCTTTGCCTGTTCTCTGATTGCTCCTTTGCAAAGACCTAAATAAATAAATAAATAAAATAAATCAAACGTTCCAAAGTCGAAGACTTTTGATACAAAGCGAAAGTTCTATTATTTGTTTAATAATTTTCCGTTGATCCCTTAGCCTTGTGGTCGCTACTTTATAACCGGTCCCTAGAAGGGGGCGGGTCTCTCCGGAAATTGCGACCGCAGCTGTTTTCACTTCGCCGTGACTCAGAGCACTCAGGAACGCAGGAGCAGAAGGGGGGATCCAGCCGCCCGTGCAGAGCCTGGTTCCAACTCCTGCGCCGGAGGACTGAGAGGTGCACATTGTAACTTCCTTTCCCCAGTCCCCAAATCTATAGGGCCCCCTTGAACTGCACGCCCCATGGGTGAAGGATGAAATCCTGATGTGCAATCCCCAGGAAGGTTTCCTGAAAGTTTGGCAATTTAGGGGAATCTTCTGGAGGTTGAAGGGGGGATTTAGCCATCTCCTAATCTCGAGGCCCTTCTTCCTACTTTGCTTCTCTTTTACTTTACTTTTTCCCACTTTTCTTTTTTTGATATGGACAATCGATGTTTTCTCAACTTCGAGACAGTGTAAGCTGAAAAAAATGAGTCTGTTAAGCCTCCATCTACTCCAATCAACTGCAGCCCCTAAGCCCTTCTATATAGGAATGTCAGAGACCGACGCAGACCATTATGTAAATACGTGGACATTGGAACTATAGGACTGAAATCTAGGAAATCTAGGAAAGGTTAAATAAATCTCTGATTTTATCCAAGCCCCACTGCTTACCCCAATCTCCTCCTCGTCCACTTCACCCCTGCAACAGGCCCCAGTGCTCCTCGCTCTCCCTCCTAGCTGCTAAGTGGCCCAGGCTGGGACTCTGCATTCCTGAAGCAGCTACCTGGCTTGGTGGGAAGGCCTGTGTTCTCCCAGTGCCTCAGATTCATGGCTTTCAGCTTGGTGGCCAGCCTCTAAATGAGTCTTGCAAGTTGCCTTTCTCAAGTGCCACCTGACAAGACAGACCTAATTCTGACCCAAACTAATTTTGTTTGTACTGGGAAGAGTAGGGGCAAGGGTGCGGAATAGCAGGTTTTCCTCAACGAGGGATTTTTTCCTGGGCTTAGGATCAGGAAGTGAAGGCTATTTCCTTGAAGGGAACGCCCTCTGCGTCTCTCTTTTCCACTCAAGCCGCTCTCGGTGAGTATTGCCCAGCCTGAGAGCTTCTCTTTCACCTGTTTTACTCCGATGTGAGTGTCCTGCTTTAGGCTCTCTGCTTAAAATGTTATTAGAAATTCTTCCCTCCTCCAGCCCAGCCTGTTCTACCAGAGAATTTGCCCGTCAGGAGTCTGCATAGAAACCCTTTTCTGAACGTCCTCTCCTCTCCCTACACCTGCCACTGTCCTCTCTGTTGCTGTCAAATTGTGAATCATTTTGCCACACTAAGTTTTCATCCAGTTTATCAAACTAAAAGCAGATATGGAATGAAAATCCTGATTTATTGGTGCTGTTTGGTGGGGGTGCAAATGTAGGCTATGTGCATATGCAGTATTTACGTATATTAGAATATCTTGGACAGATACAAATGTACTCGTATCTTTTCATTTTGAGTCCCAAAAGAAATGTCACACAGTAAATGACCTGTGGCAGGAGACCATCTTGGATCACACAGATTCTTACATGCAGCACATCTCTGAACAGCATGCTCCAAAGTGAATGGTGACAGAGGTTTATTGATTAACAGTCACAACAATAATAGGAACAATAGTGATGTCTATCATCATTGATTAAATGCCTCCTGCAAGTCATGTGCTACTCTAGGGACTTCACGTGTACTAATTCATATATGATGTGTGGGTATTATGGTTCTCATTTTAGGAAGAGAATACTGAGGCTCAGAGGTGTTAATGACACCTATTCCATATGCCTAAGAAGTGGTGAATGAAGTACACTTTTGAGAAAGTGGAACTGGTATTTGAATCAGCCTCAAGGTGTTTCAGAGATTTCCTGTTTAGTAGATGCCAGTGAATCTTACAGCTTCTGCACCTGGGATTGCCATTTAAAAGTAACCTTATGATTGAAATCTTTGTCTCCTTTTTTTAAGTTCCATCTTCCTAAATCCAACATTAACCCTTTGAATGTATTCTTATGCCAGAGAAAAGCACATAAAATGCTGGTGTTTGAGCATGTAACTTCCAACGTGTCACTCTGTTTGTGATATGTCTTTTCTGCAGGAATCTTGCATCACCATGGTGCAATTCTGTGGCCTACTCACCCTCCAGCGGGAGCCAGGTGAGCCTAATTTGTGACTCTTACTTGACATTGAATCTTTGGCACCTAGCACAGGGCTTGACCTACAAGGAGCCATTCTGTTGAAGCTTGATGAACTTGAATTCTGGTCTATCCCCAGTACCACTGAAGAGTATCTCTGTGAGCGTGTCCATTTATGAGTTTGTGGCTGGTGTGTCTGCAACTTTGAACTATGAGAATCAGGAGGAAGTTCCTCTGGAGACCGTCTTTGTGTTCCCCATGGACGAAGACTCTGCTGTTTACAGCTTTGAGGCCTTGGTGGATGGGACGAAAATTGTAGCAGAATTACAAGACAAGATGAAGGTAGTAGAGATTACCTCCTCCCTTCTTATTTCCTTAATGCATACTCTATGATCTCTACTAAATGTACCTTCACAAAACATGCTGATGTTGAAAGTTCTTTCTTTCACTCTTTTCTAACTGCCATTTTCCTAAAATCATTTTGGGGAAAAATCAATCAGAGGCATTCAAAGTATGGCTGTGATTAGACAAGACCAGTTACATACAGTCGCTCTGCACTACTCATCTCTTCATCAGCCATGTCACCTCGTATGTTCCCTTTCTCTCCCACCCCTCGCCCTGTTCTTCTCAGGCCCGCACCAACTATAAGAATGCCATCTCTCAAGGCCACCAGGCCTTCTTATTGGAGGAGGACAGCAGCTCCAGGGATGTCTTCTCTTGCAATGTGGGTAACCTCCAACCTGGGTCGAAGGCGGCAGTCACCCTGAAGTATGTGCAGGAGCTGCCTCTGGAAACAGATGGGGCTCTGCGCTTTGTCCTCCCAGCTGTCCTGAATCCTAGATACAAATTCTCTGGTGAGTATCTCTCCCCTTTGAATACTAGTGGTGGGTGACATACATAGGGAAATTTTCTTGTGCTTGTGAGTGTGCTGAAAAGCTGAGTGTACAAGGAAAACAGAACTAAGGTCACTTTTTATAGGGTCACCTAAGGATAGCTGCCTTGATGTGAAGACGCCTATAGTCCCTGTGGAGGAGCTACCCTACACCCTCAGCATGGTCGCCACCATTGATTCCCAGTATGGCATCGAGAAGGTCCAATCCAACTGCCCCTTGAGTCCTACTGAGTACCTAGGAGAGAACAAGACTTCTGCTCAGGTGGTTAATGAGCAAATTCTGCTGTCGTCAGTACCTCTGTTGCTTGAGTCTTAACTTGGTCTCCACCGAGTTCTTCCCAAATGGTAACCCGGAGGGGGTCCAACATGCTCCTTCCATATCGTCATTTAATCTCCAGAGCCTTTTCTCTAGCCTCACCTCTGTTCCTGATCATGCTCTCTCATGGAGGAGGACTGCAGCCCTAACCTCAGCCCTAAAAAGCACGCAATGATGATTCCATTGTGGCTTGTTTACCTGTCTCCAACTCAGGTTTCCCTGGCTGCTGGACACAAGTTTGATCGGGATGTGGAACTCCTGATTTACTACAGTGAGGTGCATATCCCTAGCGTGGTTTTGGAGATGGGGATGCCTAAGGTGAAGCCAGGTATTTTCTTTCTTCCTTTGTATTTATACCCTAAGGGGCAACTCCCTGTCTTAGAATTATTGTCATACTACTCTCTTTTCTTTTCCTCCCTCCAGTAGGGGGTAATACATGTGAAACACTGAAATAGCTTACACTACATCATGCAAGAATAGTTAGGTTTAATGACTGTATGTGATATGTCTTGTAGGCAAATTTAAGTAGATCGGTAGAAAATTGGGCAAAAACCAGGAACAGATAATTTACAAGAGAAAACATGGCCAGTTTATAAACAAGTGGCAGTGATCAGTCTTGACAGAAATTCATATAATCATGTGAGATTTTCACCTTTCAAGTTATCAAAGATTTTGAAATCTGACGCTTCGTGTTTTAAAAGGTGTGGTGAATTAACCTTTTGAGAATAAATTTGGCCATTTGTGTCAAATAAATGTTAACTTTGGTAATTTCAATATTAGAAATCTTGCCTAAGGAAATAAATCTAAATATAAGTAAAAATATGCAATGAGATCTCCCCTGCCATTTTAATAATATCAGGTATTAGTAAGCAATCAAAATATCTGTTAGGGGCCAAATTTGCTGTGATAGGTATACTTCATGAATTATTATACAGCTACTAAAATAATGTACATTGACAGATTGAAGTAATTGGAAAAACAACCTCCAAGGAATGTTAAGTAAAATAAAAGTAAGTTATAGTCAGATCAACACTATAAAATAATATGTATATTAGGAAAAACATTTTAAAACACAGGAAGCTTCTGCACAGCAAAAGAAATTATCGTTAGAGAGAACCAGCAACTAGCAGAATGGGAAAAAATTTTTGCAATCTACCCATCTGACAAAGGGCTAATATCCAGAATCTACGAGGAACTTAAACAATTTGCAAGAAAAAAAAATCCGATCAAAAAGTGGGTGAAGGATATGAACAGACACTTTTCAAAAGAAGACATTTATGCAGCCAACAAACATGAAAAAATTCTCATCATCACTGGTCATTAGAGAAATGCAAATCAAAACCACGTTGAGAAAGCATCTCACACCAGTTAGAATGGTGATCATTAAAAAATCTGGAGCCAACAGATACTGGAGAGGATGTGGAAAAATAGGAACACTTTTACACTGTTGGTGGGAGTGCAAATTAGCTCAACCATTGTGGAAGACAGTGTGGTGATTCCTCAAGGACCTAGAAATAGAAATTCCATTTGACACAGCAATCCCATTACTGGGTATATACCCGAAGGTTTGTAAATCATTCTGTTATAAAGACACATGCACATGTATGTTCATTGTGGCACTGTTTACAATAGCAAAGACTTGAAACCAACCCAAATGCCCATCAGTGATAGACTGAATAAAGCAAATGTGGCACACACACACACACACACCATGGAATACTATGCAGCCATAAAAAAGGATGAGTTCATGCCCTTTGCAGGGACGTGGATGAAACTGGAAACCATCATTCTCAGCAAACTGACACAAGAACAGAGAACCAAACACCGCATGTTTTCACTCAGAGGTGGGTGTTGAACAATGAGAACACACAGACACAGGGAGGGAGACATCACAACACCATGGCCTGTTCAGGGGTGGGAGAGCTAGGGGAGGGATAGCAGGAGTCGGGGGGTTGGGGAGGGTTAACATTAGGAGAAATACCTAATGTACATGATGGGGCAATGGATGCAGCAAACCTCCATGGCGTGTGTATAGCTGTGTAACAATCCTGTAAGATCTGCACATGTACCCCAGAACTTAAAGTATATTTTAAAAAATGAAAAAAATAGGAAGAATGCTAGTAGTAATTGTGGTTAGATTGACTAGGTTTAGTTTTAATGTTTTTTAAATCTAATAATCTTTATTGATTGATCCATCACAGCTACATGCAGTCTCAACTGAAGTTTTTTTCTTTTTTTTTAAAGATAAAATATACATAACAGAATTGACCATTTTAACTAATTTTAAGTGTACAATTCTGTGGTCTTCAGGATATTCACCTTGTATAACCATCACCACCCTTCATCTCCAAAACTTTTTTGTTTTGCCCTATTTTCTTAATTTCTAAGTTTCGCTTCTTAATAACTTTATTGTCTTGTGAATCCCTTCTAGCAGAACTGCCCAAGTCTTGCTTCTCAGGTCAAATATTTAGTCAAGATGACTTGCTGTTCTCATCCATACAAGGAAGCAAATGACAACTTTAAGTGGCAGCTTGGCTCACTAAAACCATTTAGAGTTCTGCCAAATGAAACCTACCACTATATGACAAAAACACAGTATGTTATTTTTTATAAACTTAGAACAGATGTACTTACTATATTAAGAACATAATGTCTTTTTAAAATTAAATTTATGATTTAATTTAAAAATTGTATGAAAATAAAATTTAGAAATAATTTTGCAATATTGTTACTAAGAGTTTAATCTGAGTTGAGCCCTAAACTGAGTTCATTAAGTATATAATATCACTTAACCCTTACAATCAAGCTTGTTCAACTTGTGGTCTGTGGGCCATATGTGGCCGAGGACAGCTTTGAATGTAGGCCAACACAAATTTGTAAACTTTCTTAAAACATGAAATTATTTTGTGATTTTTCTTTTTTAGCTCATTGGCTATTGGTAGTATTAGTATATTTTATGTGTGGCCCAAGACAATTCTTCTTCTTCCAATATGGCCCAGGGAAGCCAAAAGATTGGACACCCCTGCTTAAAATAATCTTGACGTAGGTGTTGCTTACTACCTTGATTTTTCAGATGAGGACATGAGGCTAACAAGCAGAGGAGCTAAAATTTGAAATGCCGCATTTGAAAACAAAGAAGCCAAGACTCATGGAGGTGAAAATAATTTGAGCCAGGCTAAAGTTATAATAGATAATCCACATATAACATATACAATTTATCTGGCATTGTTATAAACATGTTAACCCATATCATACTCATGCCACACTTTAAACATGTTAACCCATATCATACTCACGCTAAATACATTAACCCATATCATACTCATGCCAGCCTTTCTGGCTCCTCAGCATAGTGCCAGCTAAACCAGCTGTCTCTGAGAATGGAAAGGAACCTGCTCATCAAAAAAGCTTCTCCTTCATCATAGATCCAGACATCTGGATTGTATGATCGCTGTTTTTGAACTAGTGTCCTCTCATGTATTTGATGGGCAACACCTATCTTATTTAGAAGCCAGTTGGTTATTGGCATATCCTATGGGGAAGAAATTAAACTGAGCCAGATTCTATTGTCATACCAAATCTCAGGACTACTGAGAATATACATCTATGATCCTAGAACCACTTTGTAAAAATAGGAGAATGGAATTTAATTATATATCCTCCTATATTTTCTATAAACCTGGAGTTAACAGAAATGGCACCTCTATCTCAGTACTAGCATTTCAATTCCTGTATCAGTCCTCTCTTGCTCCTAAAAATAGTTATAGCTATGGCTTTGACAACGTGGCCAGATAGACTAGGCTCCTGTGGTACCCCCCCACCCCATTGTTTGGATGATGCTAATAGAATCCAACACGTATCCCAATGTTTTCCTTTCTTCTGAGGACTATCAGTGAGTTATTCATACCCAAAGCAGACAGATTTACCTTGGTGGTGGGTATAATACTTATACTCTCAACTCTTATAAATAGTCAACCTAAAAATTGTCCATGTGAGTATTTCTTTTTTCAAAGCTGTAATTAAAGACTTACGGCCCATGTGATAACATTTCCCATTTATTTGATTTGAAGGAAAGGTTTGATTCTGCAGATAAACTTCTCTGATTCTTTTGGCAAATGCTGGAACATTTTAACCTAATGTATTTCATTCATTTGCCTAGCTGCCAGGAAACTAGTAATCAGTGACAATATTTTAACTATTGCTTGTGTCTGCTAACTTCTACCCTCTTTCTTCTCTTTCATATCTGTTCTGCTTTTGTCTGTCTCATATATTTATAACTTACCTCAAACCCATTGCAAGCAGTTGTAGTATATGAATCATCACAGGGTTTTAGATTTGAGTTTTTCTTAGCTCTTGATTGTAATTACTACCATTGATTGTTGGGTTCTAGGATTCTTGTGTTCCTTTTTGTCTTAGAGTGGCTTTATCCTTTCTGATCAGGTCGTTTGATGGGAGATCCAACTGCAATGGTGAGTTTCTATCCAAATATCCCCGAAGATGAACCATCAAATACCTGTAGAGAGTTTGTCTTCCTCATGGACCGCTCCGGAAGTATGCAGAGCCCCATGAATAGCCAGGATAGATCTCAGCTGCGCATACAGGCAGCCAAGGTAAAGCTAGTTTTTTTCCTTTTCTGGGTCACATGCTCAAGTGAGAATAAATCTGAGAGTTAAATTCGGGTCTGTTTGGAGCCTGAGCCACAGCAGCATGACCACCCCAAGGCTGGCCTTGGAATGTAAGAAGGGACAGGTGGGTGATGGCTCACATCCTCAAGAATTGAATGGCAGGGCCCATGTGTTTTGAGGAGCCTCTCTCACTCTGTCTCTTCATACTCTCTTACCTTCAGGAAACACTGATTTTGCTGCTGAAGAGTTTGCCTATAGGCTGTTATTTCAACATCTATGGATTTGGCTCTTCCTATGAGGCATACTTCCCGTAAGTTACTGGAAAGACCATAGAGGGTACAAAATGAGACTTTAAAGAAAAAGACTAAATTGTTAAAGGGGTTACTGCAGAGCTGACTTTGGCATTGAGGATTTTGGATAAGACTCACTTTTGATGGGGGTTTCTCAATTCAGGGACTTTATACTGTGCAAGGTTAAGTAATCCTCATGTAACTGGATGTGTTTGTTTTTCTCAGGGAGAGTGTGAAGTACACTCAGCAAACCATGGAGGAGGCCCTGTGGAGAGTTAAGCTTATGCAGGCCGACCTAGGGGGCACTGAAATCTTGGCACCACTCCAGGACATTTACAAGAGACCCTCCATCCCAGGCCACCCCCTACAGGTAAGAAGTGGAACAGAGCTAACAGAAGAGACAGCAAGAGTGAAATCTCTAAGAATCTATGCCCCTGAGCTTCATGCAGTATATTGAAATATGATTTGTAATTCAGTTTTCTATTATATAATAACTAGAAAAAAAAGATGATGCATTTTTCTTCTTTCTTAACTCCATGCAATGGACAATGGAAGGTTTTTTGTGGAGTGCCATAATAACTTAGATGTAGCTAGGAGGGAAGGTGCTAAAAATTTCCAGGGTTGTGAGCAGATCATGTGAGAATGTGGTACTAATGATGGAAACGTTAGGGATCTCATGCCTCTTTAAGAGGCACCAGAGCCTCTGCAATGAAATAGGGGGATTTTTCAAGGACAAATTCTGGTATCTTAAAATGAACTTGACAAAGCCTGATGAACATTTTCTTTCTTTGTACAGCTTTTTATCTTTACAGATGGAGAAGTTACAGACACATTTAGTGTAATTAAAGAAGTTGGGATCAACAGACAGAAACACAGGTATGAAGAGAAAGTGATTTCTGGATGATTGGAGCTAAGTAGTGGCACATAGACTCTAGTGCTACGTGATGCCAGTGTTGACATTCCTTGAAGAAGACCATATGATTTCAGAATTTAGTTTTAGCAGGTGAAAATCTATTACTCCCTATAAAAATTAAAATTATTTTTAAAAATAACATCAACAACACAGCAAAAATCATTGTTTGTCATTCTTTCTAAACTACGATGGACCCAAGAATTGAATAGTAAGATGTTAATTTTTTTACTGTACACGTTGTTAGGAAAGTAAGACACACAGAAAACTACACAAATTGTAAACATACAACTGAATAAATTATCACAGCGAACACACGGTGTAATCGCCACATAGGTAAAAACTGGAATGGTAGCAGACCTCTCCATCTATACCATTTTCCATTATGTACGTCACTATACACTAAAGCTTTCCTGACTTAGTAACACCATGGGTTATTTGTGCATGTTTTGAGTGAAAAGAAATTAGTTATACAGTATGCTTTCATTTCTGTGTATATCATTACTTTTCTTTCAGCAGTATGTTGAGAGATTCATATATATTTTGTGTATAGCCATAGTTAATTTTTATTGGTGTATAGTATTCCATAAAATGACTATACCATAATTTATTGATTTTAGTGCTGATGGACTTTGATTTGGCTGTTAAAAATGATACTGCTGTGAACATTCTTGTATTCTGTACATGTATTTTTTGTATACACATGTATATGCATATATACATATTTATATACATAGATGTTTCTCTGAATGGGCAGAGTTGTGGAGTTTCTATGGAATATCAAACAGTTTTCCAAATGATTGTACTAATTAAATTCATTCTAGCGTTGTAGGAGTGTTCCAGTAACCTCATTTCCTCTCCAAAATAAGATATTATTTGTCTCTACATTTTAGTCAATTTTTTATGTGTTTAATGGCATCTTCTTACGGTTTTAATTTACATTTTCCTGATGACGAATGGAGTTTATCAACATTTTGTATTTATTGGCCAGTTGGATGCCCTCCTTTATGATGTGCTCTCAAGTCTTTTTCTGTTAATTATTTCTATTAGATTGATTTTCTTTTCTTACTGACCTTTAGTTCATTCTGTAGTCTGGATACAAGCTCTTTGTTGACTGTATGTTCTACATATACTGTATACTTACTTACTCTGTAGGTTGCTCTTAGCTTCAAAATGTATTTGAGTAATAGTTGTCGTAAATTTTAATGTAGCTTGGTATTTTTTAGTCTTCTCCTTTATGCTTTGTGTTTTCTGTGTCCTGTTTACAAGTCTTTCCCTACCAAGGTGATGAAGATTTTTTTGTTGTTCTTTTCTAGAAGTTTTATTGTTTCTTTTACATTTGAATTTACAATGCACCTGGAACTTATTTTTGTGCATTGTGTGGTGTAGGGGTTAGGTTTCATTTTTTTTGTAACGTGAATATCAAATTGACCCTATCCTATTTATGGAAAAGTTTGTCCTTTCCTCACTGATGTGCAGTGTCATCTCTGTCATCAATAAGCAACTATACATGTGTAGATTGTTTCTGGATCCTCTGTTCCATGACATTGGCCTGTACATCTAGACATGTGCTGAACGACCATATAAATTAGTACAGCTTTATGATAAATCTTGATTTCCAATAGTGTTAAATCCTTAATTTTTTTTCATTTAATAACGAAGACTATCTTGGTTATACTTACTTCTTAGTATTTGTATTTTAGAATTAGCTTGTCAGTTTTTACCAGAAGAGGAAACCTATTGGGATATTGGCTAGGATTTCATTGACTTCATTAGATCTATTTAGGCAGGACTTACTCTTTACTATATTGAGCATTCCAATCCTTTTATTTACTTTGATCTTTTCTGATTTCTTAAAATTCAACATTTTATTAAGATGACTTAGACCTATAGAGACATTCCAAAAGTAGATCAATGGGGCCAGGAGCCACGGCTCATGCCTATAATCCCAGCGCTTTGGGAGGCCAAGGCAGGCAGATTGAGACCAGCCTGGCCAACATGGCAAAAACCCATCTCTACTGAAAATACAAAAATTAGCCAGATGTGGTGGTCCACACCTATAATTCCAGCTACTCAAGAGGCTGAGGCAGGAGAATTGCTTGAACCCCAGAGGCAGAGGTTACAGTGAGCTAAGATCACACCACTGCACTGCAGCTTGGGCAACAGAGCAAGACTCTGTCTCAAAAACAAAAAGTAGACACCATATGCCCTTCACCAAGGTCTACCAGTTGTCAACCTTTTACCACATTTGTTTCAGATATGTTTTTTGTTGAAACGTTCAAGGGCAAGCCACAGATATCATAACCCTTCATATATAAACACTGAGGCACTCATCTTTTAAGAACAAGAACATTCTACTACATCACAATAAAACTATTAAATTCAAGAAATTTAAAGTTGAGATAGCACTGAAATCCAAATGCAGGTCATATTTGTCAATTTTTCTTTTGTTCTTTATAGTTTTCTACATGCTTTATAGTTTTTAATTTTTCTGTTTGTTCTGGGAACAAATCCAAAGACACATATTTTATTTGTTGTTACGTCTCTTTATTCTTCTTTACTCTGGAGTAACTTCTCAGCTTTTTATCCTCTTTCATGAAACTGACGTTTTGAAAGAGTACTAGCCAGTTGTATTTTTGAATCCTGATTTGTGTTTGTAAGACCGTTTAAATTTATGTTAAGGTTGGTATTAAACATTTTGGCAGAAATATTCCAAAGGGGTTTGGGGATGTCAAGTTTGACTGCTTAGTTAAAGGTAGTGTGTAACAGGTATGTTTGAAATTTTGTAAACATCTTGTTCTCAACAAATGTTTACTTGGTGGTTTAGCATTCACTGGTGATTATTGCCCAAGTCAGTTATGACTTTCAGTGGTGACAGAATGATTTTCAAAATTCTGTCAGCTTTTCCACACCTGTTAGTTGGTATCCTACTGTTTAAAAAAAAAAAAAAAAAAAAAAAAAAAAAAAAGCTTTTTCTCTGCCTTTCCTCCCTTCCTTCCTTTTGTTTTATCAGTATGTAATCTTGGATTCTTTCATTATTTTTCAGTGTGTGTCACATAATTCTCATGATTCATTTAGATTCTTAAAATTTTCAAATTTGACCTGTGAGATCCCTTTTAAGGTGTCTCTGTGTTTTTCTCACATCTCTTTACTTTATGAATACTTTCTTTCTAATACACAATGTTGCGGACTCACCTGTACTTTCCCAGCCCTTCGAGAAGCCCTTGGAGAAATAGTTTTTAGTGAAAGCAATACATAAAAATCAATATTTGAGTGTTAGGTGCGCTCCTTACTATTGTGCCGTTATTTATCCTTGGCATTTTCAGCAGACAGAACTGGCAAATGTTAAAAAAAACATTCTGAAATGTTTAGTTTCCCCACTACATAGGTAGTAGTGTAGCATTCTTCCTCTTTTCTCCAATTACATATCTATGTCTTCTTTTCTACAATGTGAGAAACCTAGCTTCCTGTGTAATCAGTAAACTTACTCATTTCTTCAGTCTATCAATAGGTAGTTCACCCTTATCCATGGGGTATACATTCCAAGACCCGTGTAGGTACGTGAAACCATGGATAGTACCAAACCCTTTCTATATGTACCATTCTTTCCTATACATATGTACCTGTGATAAAATTTAATTTATAAATTAGGCACAGAAAGATATTAGCAATAACTAACAATAAAATAGAACTATTAACTAAAATAAAGGTTACTTGAGCGCAAGTGCTGTGATAACCACATGTATCTATCTGGTACCCGAGACTGCTACTAAGTGACTGACAGGTGGGTAGTGTAGACAGCATGGAGATGCTGGATAAGAGAATTCACATTCAGAGTGGGACAGAGCAGGATGGCATGATATTTCATTATGAAACTCAGAATGGGATGTAATTTAAAATGTATGAATTGTCTATTTTTGAAATTTTTATTTAATATGTTTGGACTACAGGGAACCGAAACTGTAGAATGTGAAACTGCAGATAAGGGAAGCCTTCTGTACACACAGAATCTATCTGTAATATGTTATAATTATCTGTGTAGAGGGCTTCATGCATTTTTAATTAAATTGTTTCCTTAGGTGTTTGATGTTATTTTAAACAGTATTTAAAATTTTTTTTTTTTTACTGGATGGTTTATTTCTACATAGAAAATAAACCGTCTACATAGAAATTGAAATTCTTAGAATTTCTATTGTAGAAATAAACCATCTACATAGAAAATGAAATTCATTAGTTTGTTTTACTTCGACTTGTTTTTAATGATGTTAATTTACATACTAATTAAATTCTACATTTGCAGATTATTTTAGAATCTATGAAGAAATCACATTTGTAAAAAATATACTTTATTTTTCTTATTCTAAAAAAATATTTTTTTCTTATTAAAATTTTTTTCCCTTCTGGATTACCCTGGGGAGGATCTCTAATAGAAATCTAAATCAAAATGATCATATCCTTATTTTATTTTGGACTTCAAAAGGAACATTTCAACATTGCACCGTTAAGTATAGTGTTTGCTCTAAGTTTTTTTTAGTAGTTATCCTTTCTATTATTAAGAAAATTTCTTTTTATTCGTGTTGAGGTTCTTTTCTCTCTTTTCTTTCTTTTATTTTGAATAATGAATGATTGTTGAATTTCATCAAATGTATTTTATGCATCTACCTAGATGAATGTATGATTTTATCCTTTATTCTTTTAAAGTATGAATGCTAATAATTCTTAAATATTAGACCAACCTTGAATTTCTGAAATAAACCTAAAGTAGTTGTGATATATTAATCTCTTTCATATATTTTTTGATTCAGTTGGATAATACTTTTTTAGGGTTTTGAATCTATTTTCATCGGAAATGTTGACATATATTGTCTTATCTTGTCAGGTTTTGATATCAGTGTTATACCAGTATCATCAAATGAGCTGTGAGGATTGCCTTTTTTCCTTTGCTCCAAAAGATTTTCTTTTGTAAATGTTTATTAGAATTTCCCAGCAAAGCTCTCTTGGCCTGGATTTTTTTTTGGGAAGTTTTTGTTTTGACCTATTCATACTTTTATGTGTTCCTATTTTTTATAAAAGTTTGAATATTTTATTGAACTTCTTTGCCTTAAATTGTCTATGATATTGCCTAATAACATTATTAAGTTTTATAGGATATGTAGTATGTAGTGATATTACCTTTTTTCCCTTAATGTTGGTTATTTGTGCCATTTCTGTTAATATTTCTTTTCTTGCACTGGATATTTATCAATTTTAATAATAATTTCAAAACACCAGCGCCTTTGGGTTTATTGATACTTTCTATCATTTAAGTGTTCTCTATTTCATTGATGTCTGCTCCTATCTATCTTTGTTATTTTCTTTCTTTTACATTCCTTGAGTTTTGGGCCATCTTTTTTTAACATCTTGAGACAGATGCTTCATAGCTGATTTTTAGACTTTTCTAATGTGTGCATTCAGAGCTATAGATTTAAGCACCTCTGTAGCTGAATTTTAAATATGGATATGCCATTTGCCATTGTCATCTACTTAAGAATATTTTCCAGTTAGTCTGATTTCTTTTTTTAAGCTTGTATAATTCATAAGTACAGTGCCTAATTTCCCAATATTTGAGGATTTTTGTTAGTCATCAAATAAAAAATTGTAGAAATTAGGTTAACCTCTAGATGACATCTTCCATCTGAGAGGATTTATTCTTTGCTTCTGAATGGTGCTGGATAGACTGGGAACAGATCATCTTAATCCAGTCAGGATCTGATGAACTTCAGTCACGGTGCTGGCTGGTCTATTTCTGATTCACCTCTACCTCTGGGATGTAGTCCTTTAGGATTCTATTCTAAATTCTCAGGTGTTTACAAGAGCACCTTCCCTCTGGAAAGTGCAAATTGCTGTTGTGTTTCTCCTGCCTGTGTGCAACTGCGTGGCTTTTCAGCCATCCATTTTTGTATTTGGCACTTACTTCAAAGGGTAAAGAAACATCAGATGCCAGGCTCATTTCTCTTGGCTTCTCTATTCTCTCAGGTCCTGGCTCATAGATTTTTATCTTGGTAGACCTTTGATGTTTTCAAACAAATGATTGTAAATATTCTGTACAGCTTTCTTAGTTCTCTGCTGGCTTGAAACAATGTACAGTGGCATTGCTGTGAGCAGAGCTTTCCTAGGGTGTTATATTTTAAGCACTATATAAAATTTTGCTATCATTATAATAATATTAATTTTTATTATCATCCACATTTAGCACTGTCGTGAGGTTCCAGTTGGTCATCAGTACTTTTTGTTTGTTTGTTTGTTTGTTTAGAGACAGAGTCTCTCCCTGTGCTGCCTAGGCTGATCTTGATCTCCTGTTATTGGCCTCCCGAAGCCTGAGCCAGCATGTCCAGCCAATATTGTTTAGTTTTGATTTTATACAAAAGATAAAAACTATAACAGCACTTTTTAACATAGGCTGCAATTCAAAGATCATGTTGGAAATTGAAAGACTGTAATATCAAGATGCCGGCAGGCTGTAGCATTTAGGAAGTATCATTACAGCTAGGTACCCGCAGTTAGAAGTCTGGTCCTTAGTCTTACAAGTGCAGAGCGTTGACCCTCATGCTGATGCCACTAGACTTGGGGATGTTGACTCACACTAACCTGAGAGAGACTGACACATAAACCAAAATTTCAGGGTATTAATTTACAATGAAAACTTTCTCTGTCATGCCTTCCAAAAGTGCTCGTGTTAGTATTCCCAGTATGTTTTTTGTTTATACGTAATTCTATTTGGGAAATCACATCATGATTAAGAAGTTACTTGGTGCACATGGACAAAGGCAGGGCAAGAACTCTCCCGTTAGAAGAGCAGGAGGCACGCTTCCTTTTTCTAAGACTGGTCTTGCTAGGGCAGATAAGATGCCAGCACATCGTTAGGTAGGAACTGGTGTTAGTTTCTATCTTTCTCTTGGTTTACAAGAGGGATCTTGCAGTCAGGCAGACCAGTGCTTCAGTGACATTGCTACATGTAGTAGTTGCATGATCTTGGAAAGATTTCTTAAATTTTCTGGGCCTCAGTTTTGTATCTGCAATGTGAAACAGAAGTCTGCTTTTTAGGAGTCTTGCAACGATAAAACTGCATCATTGATTTAAGGCATTTTTATACCTCCTAAAATATAAAATATGCTCAGTAAATAGTGGCTATTACACATTTGTCAAGGAAGTAGACTATTTCCTTATGCATTTTTGGCCATAGTGTATTAATTTTATATTTTTACTCCTTAATGCCGGCCTCTAACCTCTGTCCTTTTACAATTGCAGGTGTTTCTCATTCGGTATTGGAGAAGGTGCCTCCACCAGCCTAATAAAAGGTATTGCCCGGGCATCAGGGGGCACCTCAGAATTTATCACAGGCAAAGACAGGATGCAGTCCAAGGTGAGGGACAGACTGGCTGTGTCTATCCGGAGGTGGCAATTCAGACCACAGTGAAATGGGGTGAGGGACACTGTGCAAGGGTAGGAGTAGCAACTTTCCTCCAGTATACCTGTTCCTCTATCCCCAAGGCCTTGGGCTGTGTCCTTAGTCAGGCTACTTTGGCCTCTTGTAATAGAGGCCCACTCTAGTATCTGGAAATATGACATCTGGTCCCAGTAGCTGCAAGCTCAGAGACAGGATGCTGAAAGGGATTGGGGCCTTTGCATTTAAGACCAGGCACAGAGAAACTAAGAGCTTTGACCATCATGACTGAGATTCTAGGTCCTCACTTTAGAATCTCTTTTGGTGCTACATGCATCCTCCATGCAAAAGATACAAAGAAAAGGAGAAGGAACAATTGTGATATGTCTAATGGATTGGAAGAGGTGGTAAATTGCTATTCCATTTCATCTGTCTGTACGAGTAGAAGACCCCTCTGGTGGTATCTCGAAGCTCCTCTTTCCAGGATGGTGCCACGTCTTACCAATCCCCTTCTCCAAGGGTCTTGTTTCTCAAACATTTTGTTCATTTACATTTTGTTACGAAATATTTCAGCTTTGGCTTCTTCATATGTAAAGCAAGATAAATAGTGCCCATCTCCTAGAATAATATTAAGGAGTAGGCTTGACATGTATTATATTGTACTGCGTCTGATACAGAATAAATGTTCAGTTAATTGTAGCTGCCATCGTCTGTATCATTTGTGTTTACACTGTTCTCTTCCCTCCATTAGGCTCTCAGGACTCTGAAGCGCTCTCTGCAGCCTGTGGTACAGAATGTTTCTCTGAGCTGGCATTTGCCTCCTCGTCTGTCTGCTGAAATGCTTTCCCCAGAACAGACTGTCATTTTTAGGGGTCAGAGATTAATCATCTATGCCCAACTGACTGGGAAGATGCCAGTGAGTTCCCGGTCTTGTTTGTTCCCCTAGTCAGAAAGATACCACACTGACCATTTCATTCACTAAAGCTGGTAGGTAGATTTCATCTCAGCCAGAGACAGCACTTGCCAAGTAGAGCCAGCCTATTTCCTTCCCATCATTTCAGGTCTCTGGTTTCCTAGGCTACCTGATTCTTCAGCCGGTATTTTAGTACATTGTTTAGGGTAGCTGCCCCTGTTCTGATCCTTCTATGGATGATCTCTTTCTTCTGTCACTTCTACTCATCTCTAATTTGCAGGCAGCAGAGACAGGAGAAGTATGCCTCAAATACACACTCCAGGGCAAGGCTTTTGAGGATAAGGTGACATTTCCTCTACAACCCAAGCCTGATGCCAAGTGAGAATTCAGTTCTCCGTTACTATTTTCTTCCCTCCCTTTCCTCCCTCTCTTTCTCCCGCCGTCCCTCCTTCCTTCCCTCCCTCCTTTCTTCCTTCCGTCCTTTTTCTTTTCTTCCTTCTCCTTCCTTCCTTTTCTTCCTTCCTTCCTTCCTTCCTTCTTTCCTCTGCCGTCCTTAGGAATTAGATTCTTCTCTTAATTCTGGGCTCCATTGTAATTGTTTTTCTATAATCACTTTTTATTTATAAACCACCAAAGACTTACCTCTCCCCTTATCTGACTTTATCTTTCCTTTTCCATTCCTAACTTTTACGAACTGCAAGTAACTGGTATATGGATGTCTTTCCCTACATTTCAGTACTTTTTTACTTTTTCCTTTCAGCCTCACCATTCACCGCCTTGCTGCCAAGTCCTTGCTCCAGACCAAGGACATGGGCCTCAGAGAGACTCCCGCAAGTGATAAAAAAGATGCATTGAACCTTAGCCTTGAGTCTGGTGTCATAAGCTCTTTCACAGCTTTCATTGCTATCAACAAGGAGCTGAACAAGCCAGTTCAGGGGCCTCTGGCTCATAGGAATATCCCAAGGCCAATTGTGCTAGGTGCTTCTGCCCCATTGAAGTTGAGATGCAAAGCAGGTAAGGAGTTTTATTCCATTCAAATTCATACAGAATAAAAGGCCCTGACTGAGCACATTATTTAAAGGAAAAGGCTATGAATTATTCTTAAGTTGCTTTGTTTTCCCTATACCTCCACATCTAGGATTTCTGATCAGTGTTCAACTTTTCTGTCTTAGGGAACTAGAATACATTCTATTGTCAAGGAGATTTAAAATAATCTGAGAGAAAACAAACAAACAAGTATTAAAACATAGAAAGAGCATGTAAACACCGAGTGACCAAACTGCCTAATCTGAAGCTGATTTATCTTTTGTATTGAGTTATAATTCAAATATTGTACAATTCACCATTTAAAGTGTATAATCCAATGGGTTTTAGTATGTTCACAGAGTTGTGCAACCATTGATTGCCACAATCAACTTTAGAGCATTTTTATCACCCAAGAAATAAACTTCATAACGATTAACAAACATTTCCTATTTCTCTCCCTGACCCCACCTATCTTCTCCTCCACTTCCCTCCCACCAGCCCCAATAATCACTTACCTGCTTTCTAGCTCTATATATTTGCCTATCCTGTCTTTATGTATTTGTCTGTTCTGGACTTCTTTTCCTCTTTTTTTTTTTTGAGACAGGGTCCCGCTCTGTTGCCCAGGCTGGAGTGCAGTGGCACAATCATGGCTTACTTCAGCCTCAACCTCCCAGGCTAAAGTCATCCTCCCATCCTTAGTGGCTGGGACTATAGGCACATGCCATCATGCCCGGCTAATTTTTTGTATTTTTCATAGAGATGGGGTTTTGCCATTTTACCCAGGCTGTGGCTGGCTTATTTCACTTAACATAATGTTCTCCAAGTTCATCTGTGTTGTTGCAAATAACAGAAGTTTGTTCTTTTTTATGGCTGAATAATGTTACATTGTGTATCTATAGTACGGTTTCATTTGCTCATTCACCCACTGATGAATACCTAGGTTGATTCCAAGTCTTGGCTATTGTGAATAGCACTGATATCTCTTTGCTATACTGATTTCCTTTCTATTGGGTATATACCCAGCAGTGGGATTGTTGGATCATATGGTAGCTCTATTTTTTTTTTTTTTTTTTTTTTTTTTTGAGACGGAGTTTCGCTCTTGTTACCCAGGCTGGAGTGCAATGGCGCGATCTCGGCTCACCGCAACCTCAGCCTCCTGGGTTCAGGCAATTCTCCTGTCTCAGCCTCCTGAGTAGCTGGGATTACAGGCACACACCACCATGCCCAGCTACTTTTTTGTATTTTTAGTAGAGACGGGGTTTCACCATGTTGACCAGGATGGTCTCCATCTCTCGACCTCGTGATCCACCCGCCTCGGTCTCCCAAAGTGCTGGGATTACAGGCTTGAGCCACCGCGCCCGGCCGGTAGCTCTATTTTTTAACATTTTAAGGAGCAACAGTTTTCCACAATGGCTATACAAATTTACATTCTCACCAACAATGTGCAAGCATTCCCTTTTCCTGATACCCTTGTCAGTACCTGTTATCTTTTGTCTTTTTGATGGTAGCCATTCTGACAGGTATGAGGTGATATCACATTGTGGTTTCGAGTTGCAATTTCCTGATGATTGGTAATTCTAAACATTTTTTCATATACCTGTTTGCCATTTGTATGTCTTCTTTTGAGAAATGTCTATTCAAGTCTTTTGTTCATTTTTAAACAAGGTTATTTGCTTTTTTTGGTATTGAGTTAAATTCCTTGTGTATTTTGCATCTATGAAACCCTTATCAGATGTCTGGTTTGCAAATATTTTCTCCCATTCCCTAGGTTATTTGTTCACCCTGTTGATTATTTTCTTTGCTATACACAAGAGGCAATCTCATTTGTCTATTTTTGCTTTTGTCGCCCATGCTTTTGAGTTCATATCCAAAAATCAGTGCCCAGACCTCTGTCATAGAGATTTTGCCTTATGTTTTCTTCTAGTTGTTTCATAGTTTCAGCTCTTACATTTAAGTCTTTAGTTCATTTGAGTTGGTTTTTTTATGTGATGCAAGATAATGATCTAATGTTATTCTTTTGTATGTGTATATCCCAGTTTTCCCAATACCATTTATTGAAGAGACTGTTTTTTACCCATTGTATTCTTAGCACCTTTGTCAAAAATTAGTTGGCTATAAATGTGTGGATTTATTTTTGGGCTCTCCATTCTGTTCCATTGGTCCATGTCTGTTTTTATGCAACTACCATGCTCTTTTGGTTACTATAGCTTGGTAGTATATTTTGAAGTCAGATGGTATGATGCCTCCAGCATTTTATTTTGATTTCTTTTTTTTTGTGTGTGTGTGTATTTTTTTTTCTCAAGGTTGCTTTGACTATTTGGTTTTTTTGTTTGTTTGTTTTATAATTCCATACAAATTTTAGAATTTTTTTTAAATCTGTGAAGAATGTCATTGGTATTTTCATAGAGATTGCATTGAATCTGTAAATTGCTTTCAGTATTATGACCATTTTAACAAGATTTATTCTTCTCATGAATGTGAGGTATCTTTACATTTATTTGTGTCTTCTTCAAATTATTTTATCAATATCTTATAATTTTCAGTTTAGAGATGTTTTGCCTCCTTGTTTAAATTTATTCCCAAGTGTTTTAATTATTTTGTAGCCATTGCAAATGAGATTGTTTTCTTGGTTTCCTTTTCAAAGAGCTTGCTATTTGTGTATAGAAACACTAATGACTTTTGTATGTTGGTTTTATATCCTTCAACTTTGCTGGATTTGTTTATTATATTTAACAAGTTTTTTTTGGGGGGGTAGTCTTGAGGGTTTTTTTCTATGTATATGATCATGTCATCTGCAAACAGGGGTAGTATTACTTCCTCTTTTCCAATCTGGATCCTTTTTATTTCTTTCTCTTGCCTAATTGCATGGGCTAGGACTTACAGTACTATATTGAATAGAAGTGGTGAAAGTGGACATCCTTGTCATTTCTGATTTTAGAGGAAATGCTTTCAGTTTTTCCCTGTTCAATAAGATATTAGCTGTGAATTTGCCATCATTGTCTTTATTATGTTGAGGTAAATTTCATCTATACCTAATTTATTAAGCGTTTTCATCATGAAGCGATGTTGAATTTATTTAATAGTTTTTCTGCATCTATTGAAATGATCATATGTTTTTGTCCTTTTTTCTGTTAGTGTGGTTCATGTTTGTCAATTTATGTTTACTGAACCAACTTTATATCTCTCGGATGAATCCCATTTGATAATGATGCATGATCACTTTAATGTACTGCTAAATGTGGTTTGCCTAGTGTTTTGTTGGGGATTGTGTATCTGCGTTAATCAAGGATATTGGCCTGTAATTTTATTTTTGTTGTATCTGGTTTTGGTATCAGGGTGATGCTAGGAAGCTTGTTTTTAAGATAATACTAGACAGCTTGATGGAAGCAAGCTGACGTATAGGAAACAAAATAGAGAATTCAAGAACTTAGTGATCCAGATGAGCTCAAAGATCAGGTGAAACAGAAATCTCTGAGTTAGAAAACTGGAAAAATCAGATATTACGTATTAAAACTAAGAATTTAAAATTTAAAATTTTTTATTTTTTGAGACAGGATCTCACTCTGCTGACCAGGTTTTAGTGCAGTGGTGTGATTATAGTTCACTGCAGCTTCGATCTCTTGGGCTAAAATGATTCTCCCACTTCAGCCTCCCAAGTAGGTAGGACTCCCGGCATGTACCACCATGCCTGGCTAATTTTTAATTTTAATTTTTTTTTTAAATAGAGTCTCACTGTGTTGCCCAGGCTGGTCTCAAAATTCTGGCTTTGCATGATCCCTCTGCCTGAGACTATAGGCACATGTCACCATACCCAGATAATTTTTTAAACTTTTTATAAAGATGAGGCCCTGCTACTTTGTCCAGGCTGATATCAAGCTCATAGGTTCAAATGATCCTTCCACCTCAGCCTCCCAAAGTATTAGGATTACAAGCATGAATCACTGCACCCAGCTTCAATTTATTTTCTATGAGTGGAACAATTCTGCATAATAACAAGATTAACATGGCTTGGGAGGAAGTGGCAGAAGTAGAATGAAGTGGAAGTCACTGGATTTGATGAAGTCAAAGAAGCTTTGCCTTAGGGTGTTGGATAGGTACAGGGGTCCTGAAATCTCTCAAGGAGATGGTAGGCCTTGCAATGGAGTGGAAGTCTATGGTCTAGTTTTCAGATATTTTAGTGAATGATTGGAAGTAACAAAAAGGTTGGAAGTAGACAGTAGTGAAGACATATGCAATGTCTTCATTTAGTGATCTGGATGCAGCATCAGGGACTGAAGAGGTTGTCAGCCCTACCTCCCTACTTGGAGTGTAGTACATGGAGCAGTAACAATTTGAGAGTGAAGTTTTTTGAGAGGATAAATTCAGTTTCAAGTTAAGACTTAGCTGGAAGAAGCCTCCTGTATTAAAACTAAAGATGCAGGAAAAATTGTCTAGCATATATCACGGGTTCCAGAGGACACAGTAGAAGGAGAGCTCAGAGGGTAAGGGTTTGTGCAGGAGGTGGGCATATGAGAGAAAAATGGCACAGTAAGTGTGGTTACTGAAGCCAATGTGGATGGGAGGATATGTATCTCAAATTGTCAGGGTCCTTTGCCCATCACAGAGAGCAGGGAGTGCCACCGTCTTAATGTTTGTGCGGATTTTTTTCAGCTGTTCCAATGGCTGCACGCTATAGTCGTCCTGCATTTCCGCCCATAATGGAAGCTATGTCTGTTGAGGACAACATGGCATACCATAAAGGTGATTACAGATTCTGTGGGTTGATGACTCACAAGGACCATCACAGTCCAGGTGAATACCTTTCTAGGAACTTTTTCTCAACAATGTTTGTTTGTCACACATATTGGACTAGGCAAGCCACGATCTCATAGTTACAGCTATGGCAAGAGAGGCATGCTTCCCTAAGAGACCCCGCTGTGAGTTGGAAAAGACTCATTCTTCCACCCAAAGAACCAACTTGGAAACTTACCATATGGGTGAGGCAGGCCTCCCTTCACCCCTCCTATCTATAGAGACTGACAAACTAACCTTCAGTGTTCTGCTGCCTGTGGCTTTCTCTACTCAGGAGGTCATCTGTTTGAAAGACACTGAGCAGAAGGTCAGATTTGTTCCACCCCTATGTTTCCCAGCATCAGCCCAGCTAGTTTCATTAGCATATCATATAGGACCCTGAAACCTGCTATCCCAGTAGAGTCTACGGTGACCCTTAGTTGAACAAACCCCCTTGATCATCTCAGCTCAAACAGCTTGCCTGTGGGCTGCCCCCATCACCCTGCAGAGCCCTGCTGCCACCCTCTGTGAGTCCCTGTTCCACAGATCATCCTTTCACAAGTGCGGTTTGAAGTCCAATCTTCTGGATGTTGTCTAATGACTTTCTTTCTATTGCATTCTTGCTATGGTCTGTCTCTGAATTTAGCAGCCCTAAATTCAGGTGTGTTGAGGGGCTCCATAATTTCTCATCCTCTCTCCTTCTTTCTCCCCAAAGCCTCTGTAGAGGATCATCTTGTGCAGCTGATTTATCACCAAAATGCAAATGGTTCCTGGGATCTGAATGAAGATCTAGCCAAGGTCCTAGATATGAGTTTGGAAGAAATAACATCTGCACACCCTGCCGAGGTAAGAGTCAAAGGAAAAAGGAGTGTGTTTGTGTGTTTGTGTGTGTATGTGTATGTGTGTATGTATGTTTTAGCACAATATTTCAATGTCTCTTCTTACCCAGCTTTATATATACATATATATATTTATATATATACATATATATATTTATTTATACATTAACTTTGAGTACTGAGGTGCACGTGTATGTTTTTGAAAGAGAGAGGTCATCATTGAGAATTGAGGTGATTCAGGACCCACCTCCACTAAATTAATTTGTAATAAATAAAGGTTGAAGGCTCTTCTGGTCATGTTAAAGCAGAAAGAGCAAGGGATTAATGGGGAAGCTAGTAGGAATCGATGATTTCTTGTTGGTGGATGACAAAGGGAAAGCAAAAATCCTCTTCCACTATTTCCTGATAATCATCTTGGTCATAACTAATATTTAGTGAGCAATTACTCTGTGCCAGGCACTGTGCTAAGCAGTTATTATTCATGAGCTTATTTATTTCTCATATTAATTTAATAAGGTAGATCCCATTTGTGTTGCTGTTTATAGATGAAGAAACCGAAGTTTAGGGAAATGTGTCTGAGGTTACCCAGGCCAGCAGTGGCAGAGCCAGATTCAGTTCGAAGACTATCTGTCCTGAGAACTCCCCAAAATAACCTCATTATTGCTCCTCTTCATACTGATGAAAGTGGTCCAGACATTGGCAAAATTTAATTGAAGTCAGGGTAGGTGAAGCATTGTTAATAAGAACCACCTAGTTGTTTTAGATGTATTTAAATATGCTGATGAGGATAAATTGCATCCCAGAATTTCAAGGTAACTTGCCAAATCTTCTAATACTTGTTTCGAAGTTGTTAGGCCTGAAACAGGTGCAAAAAGCCTGAAGGACAAATATTCTAAACTTTCAAAATGTGGAAGGAGATCAGATAAATTTCAGATATTCTGCAATTCCACTGTCCAATAATACAGTATCCACTAGTCACATGTGGCTATTGTGCCTTTGAAATGTGGCTAATACAAACGAGGAACTAAATTTTTAATTGAATGGAGGTGTGCTGTGGTGTGAAATACATAGTAATGGCAAAGACTTTATATAAAAAGGAGTAAAGCATTTCATCAATAATTATTTTTATACTGATTGCATGTTAAAATGATGACTTTTTAATATAGTGGGTTAAATAAAATATATTAGCAAAATAATTATACCTCTTTAGTTTTTGAAATATGGCTACTAGAAAACTTAACATTACAAATGTGTCTAGCATTATATTTTTATTGGAAAATGCTATTCTAGAAAAAGTAATTAAGTAGAAAAAGTAATTAATAATTCATAAACACTTGGAAGAGGATATAAGGATCATTAGATTCACTGAGAACAAAACACGTCAGACTGACATTTCCTTCTTTGGCATGGCAACTAGGCCAGTGAATCAAGTGAACAAACGGACTTGGTGTATCTGAATTTCGGTAAGGAATTTGATTTTTTTTTTTTTTTTTTGAGACAGAGTTTCTCTCTTGTTACCCAGGCTGGAGTGCAATGGCGCAATCTCGGCTCACTGCAACCTCCGCCTCCTGGGTTCAGGCAATTCTCCTGCCTCAGTCTCCTGAGTAGCTGGGATTACAGGCACGCACCACCATGCCCAGCTGATTTTTTCTATTTTTAGTAGAGACGGGGTTTCACCATGTTGACCGGGATGGTCTCGATCTCTTGACCTCGTGATCCACCCGCCTCGGCCTCCCAAAGTGCTGGGATTACAGGCGTGAGCCACCGCGCCCGGCCGATTTCTTTTTTTTTTTTTTTTAATGATGAACTCATGGACCAAGTACAAACTAGTTGAAAAACCGTGATGCTAAACAATAAATTAATTTCAAACTTGAAACAGATTTTTAGGCCCACCAGGCTCTGAATTCCCTGGAGGTCCACAGTTTCGATGAAGATTTAGATGAAGATAAAGACCCTTTCCTATTTGTAGATGACAAAACTCGGAAATAAACTACCAGTCAAAAGAATCAGGATCCCAAAAATCCTCTGTATAGTAAGTTGCAATTTTTCACAAACAGATAAAGAAAAACAGCGTAGTAGAAATAAAAGCTAAGTACCGTTTTGGGTACTTAATTCCCAACTCTACAGGGAGAGAAGAGAGCATTTGCATGTGAAGAACAGAGGTTTTAGATGACTACAGTATAAACCAGAATATTTAACTGAGTAATGGAGGACAACAGGATTATCTGAAATGCTACCCTATTCTTGGGCTGTGATTGTAGAATTTTATAAGTACATTTACCTCCAGGTAAGACATTTTTATAAGTATATTTACCTCCAGATAAGACCATTTAAGGAGACGTGTTTTAAAAATCATTGTCCTGTTTGTTTTTAGACTAGGAGAATAAGTTTGGGGATGCTTACTGCTTTAACATAAGCAGTCTTCGTAAGGAAGAAATGAAGAAACTGAGAATTTTAATCTTAAATAAGACTACTCAGAGAGGACATGTTAGCCGTTTCCAAGTTTTTAAGGTCATGATATAAAGTAGGAAATTCCCTTGATCTCCTGACTCTAAAAACTGAAGCTGAGAGCAGTGGGTGAAAACTTCATGGGAGAAAATTTGCTGCTGTATGGTTGAGATTTTCTGTGAAGAAATAAGAGCAATATAACTAGAATCAGAATATTTGGCCTTTAGTCCCACTTCTGTCATTTGCTAGAAGGCTAAGTTTGGGCAAATCATTTTATTAATACTTCTATATGAAATCTGTTTTTTTTTCTTAAAAATATGTTTACTGATATTTTCTCATGATTTTTTGTGGGATGCAAGGGTTGCAATTAAAAAATTCTTGAAGGTGGGAGGCTGAGATGGGTGGATCCTGAGGTCAAGAGATCGAGACCATCCTGGTCAACGTGGTGAAACCCCATCTCTACTACAAATACAAAAATTAGCTGGGCATTGTGGCGCACGCCTGTAGTCCCAGCTACTCAGGAGGCTGAGGCAGGAGAATTGCCTGAACCCAGGAGGCGGAGGTTTTAGTGAACCGAGATCGCACCATTGCACTCCAGCCTGGGTAACAAGAGCGAAACTCCTTCTCAAAAAAAAAAAAACTCATGAAGGTACTTTATAAAATACAAAGCAATTTTGCCTGTGTTTCTCTTACTGGAGCTGGGTAAGTCTTGTCAGGGGTTTTCAGAACTGTCCTGGTAGTTACACTGGATTTAAAACTTGGGATTTTCTATTTCAAGACCCAGTGGATTGCTGCCCTGAGGTTTAAGGCCTGGCATTATGCCTTGCAAGTAGTAGCTGGAGGTAAAGAGAGACCAGGTAACTCAATTTACTAGCATTTAGAAGGATGCTAAGTGAGGAGGGAGTGAAGCTTTTGCATCCCCTTGAGGAACATCCAGCTCCAACTGGAGCTCTCTGTCTACTGTGCAGCTTGTGGATTCCTCAGGATGGGCCACCATCCTGGCCGTGATCTGGCTACATGGCAACGGTAAGGACTTCAAGTGTGAATGGGAGCTTCTGGAAAGGAAGGCCATGGCCTGGATGCGTGTCCATGCAGGTAGGAGCACAATCCTAAGACCTGTCTCCTTCCCCTTCCCTGGCCTGGCAGAGGGTTGCCACAAGAGAGTCCCATTGTCACTTGCCCCCACCATCCTGCTTCAGACCTTTACTAATCTTCCTACTAGTTCTTTTCTTGGGAGGGCAAGGGTGAAATCTTAAATTGGGGACAAGGTAGGAGGGTGAGTAGGGAGGGAGAGGGACATGAATGGGGAGTTGAACTGTGAGAAGGAGAAGTGGCACTGATTTTCCTTAGTGTCTCAGTACCAAGCTAAGTAGAAGACTAGACTTGGATCGTGTTGTCCTGGCTGTTTGTTATCTCATGGCAGCTGAGTGTATATGGGGCCAGAGAAGATTCAAGGATAATCTGGGCAGTAAGAAGAGAAAAAGCAGGGATATTGAGGACAGATAAAAAGCACAACTCAGGGTAGATGATCTGAGAGGTTTGGAGGAGCCTCTCATTGAGATCCTTCATCCCTAATTCTTGTTTTTCCTCACCACAGGCTCCACCATGCCTTTGGTTGTGAAAGCTGCTATTACTTTCCTGAAGTCATCTGTGGATCCTGCTATCTTTACCTATTGAAGATACCATACAGAAAAAGAAGTGCCTTTAATTTTCTACTGTCATTTCCTTTACTCTTCTACGGTGATGATATGTTCTTGTGTTTTATGATTCTTTATTTTTTTGCCATAAAAGTAAAGGATGCTCACTCCACTTTGCATGCTCCAGGTTCACTTTGGATATGATCTTTCTTTTCCCAGCATGTCCCCTTAGGAAAGTGACAGTGATCCCAGAACCTGTTTCCTTTCTTGAAGGAGTTCAAAACATTCACAGGCTAGTAATGTTTCTTCCAGGGTTTCCAAGCTGACAGTATGAAAAGCAGGTGACATGAACTATAGACTAATGATTACAGCATTAGTTGATGTTAGGAAATGCCTAAATTTGAGAATTCTCTGCATTATCTTTGCCTGTTCACTTTCTATCTTATGTCTTTATTAGGACTGTACTGGTAAGTTTTGAAGTTTTCCATGTGTAGGATGAGTTAGAGGGAGGTTGAAAGCCAACATCTGAACCAATGTAATGTTAAGATCATAAAGAGAGAGACTCCAGGGGCATACTGTGAGAGTTGGCACTGTTGGGGACCTTCCTGATTCATTCTGCTTGGGCTTTGCTAGCTTGTACAACCTACATGCCTTTCCTTGCACTGCCTAAAAGACTCCAGTTGAGCTATACCTGTTGGAGACAGATGTTCCTTCTTAATAATGAAGCATCTTAGTAAGAGGTATATAATGCAATTCTTAGTCCTACCCTGAACCTGTGAGTCCTCTAAGTCAGGCTTTGATCTAGTGCACTAAAGGGAAGGGCGAGTTTAATGGGAGCTTTGCCTGGAACCTGAACCCGGAGTACTTCTGCATTAGGAAGAAAGGAGCTCCCTGTGATCACTCCTGATCCTTGTGTCTCATAGCTCTTATCCTAATGGAAATGATCCTATTGGATGTAGTGTCCCTTAAAGTAACTTGTATCAATATTAAAATGACTATTTCTACCATTTCATGAGTAAATGCAGTGGTTCTTAAAATGGTCTTGTCTCCCTGCCCCACAAATCTTTTGGTACTAGCATTTTGGGAAGCCAAGCTAGGATAGTAAATTGACCAGAACGCAGTTGTGGAAATTTGACCTGAAGTTAGTGAAATAAAACTTTAAAGAGTGTAAAAAAACACAGCTTACTTAGAGGTGTAGTTTTTCATAGATTCATTTATTGAACTTACATTGGTTTTATTATCCCTTGTTTTCTGTCCCAGCTTTCCTGATGCCTCCGATGTTCCCGTGGGATCCTGCCCCTCCATCTTCTGTTGTAGGCTGACTTCTCTTACATGAAGCAAGTAAAGGACACCAGTGAGAAAACCACTGTTAGAATCCTGACCATACACTGTAGTAGTTATGTGATGATGGGCAAATGATTTCACCCTCAGGCACATAATATCCCCATCTGTAAAACTAAGAGATTAAACTAGAACTCTATTAAACACTTTCTAAATTGAATACTCAGAATTCCTAGAGGGACGTCATTGCCTTTTGACTCAGAAAGTGGGTGGACTAGGCCTGAGTTTCTTTTTTCTTTCTTTCTTTTTTTTTTTTTTTAGAGAGAAAAAAAGAATGAAAGAGAGAAAGAAAGAGGAAGAGAAAGAGGGAGAGAGAGCAGGAGTCTTACTTTATTGCCCAGGCTAGAATGCAGTCTAACTGAGTTTCTTAAGTTGTTGAGTTACCTGGTAATAGGAATACTTGGGGCATGTGTATAGCGGAGTCTGATCTCTCAGCCTTTCTTCCAAGTTAGTTTATGCTGAATGTGATCTGTGGAACAGGGTTGTAGCACCACCTGGAAGCCTGTTAGAAATGCAGAATTTTAGTCACACCAGGAACTATCTTATTTAACAAGGCTCCCAGGTAATGTGCACCCACACTGAAGCTTGAGAAGTAAAGACTTAATATTTTCATAAAATAGGCTTATATCAAAGTCTGCCATCTAGATAGCCCCTACCTACTTAATATCAGAAAATAGTTTCCTAAGGAGCATGAAACGTGTATAGTTAACCTCTGTGCACACAACGCTGTCACTTTACATTTATTATGCAGAGCATTTATTGTTTATCTCCCTTTTTCTCACCCTTCAGCTTCCAGACTGGGGCTTGAGGACTTAGTGCAGGGCCTTCTAAAACAAAAAACAAACACAAACCAAAAAAATATGTGTCAACCTGTCCTTTGTCTTCCTTAAAATAAGGCAGCTGCAGTTTTAAAGTGGCATGGTTTTATTTTTCCATTTGGACTTCTGCACAATGAAATGTTGTATCAACTGCAAATCCCTCAAATCTAAACAAGTGTCAGTCTTCATAATCAGCAAATGGCATTTTGGCACATTTATTGAAACCCCTTTTCAAGACTGGTGCTTTATGTTTTGGAAAAGTATAAAGAACCATCTGTAATTTCAGAAACTGGTGGTCCAGGCAAGGAGCCCAGGAGAGAAGCTGTTCTCATCTCCCGTTGGTTCCCTTTATCTAGCACTTGTTTCGCCACAGCAGCAGACTTGGCCACAGGAAAAGTGACAGATATCATTGCCTCAAGATTCTTTCACTTAAACAGCCCAAGAGCTCCCCTGGAGGGTTTTCTGTGCTCCATGGACTTGTTGATAAAATCTATCCCGTCTTCCCTGACTCTAACACAGTCCTACTCAGGGTCACTAAGCAGCTGCTCTTCCTCTCCCAACTCACAGCAGTTGCTTCCTTAAAAACAGTCCATCTGCTTTCCGGAGTATCTGATTGAAAGGAGCTACCAGGAGAAAACCAAGAAAGAAGCCCATGCAATTAACTAACTATGTATTTTATCAGATTTTTTGATATTCTCATATATTTTGATATTCTCCTCAGTGCATACGCATTTAAAATTATACATTCTTGGGAAATTGACTCTTTTATCATTATTTAATGCTCAACTTTATCCCTGACTTTTTCTGTAGTTGTTGTTCCGAAGTTGGCTTGTCTGAAATTAACGTAGCTACTCCAGCTTTCTGCTGATGGGTTTTGGCAAGGCATATCTTTCTCTATCCCTTAACTTTTAGCCTATGTAAGTCTTTTTATTTGAAGTGGGTTTCTTGTAGACGACATATGGTTGGGTCTTATTTGTTTGTTTTTGTTTGTTTTTAATCCACTCTGGCAATCACTGCCTTTAAATTATCTACCCATATCATTTATATTTAAAGTAATTATTGATAAAATTAGGTTACTATCTACCGTGTTTGCCAACTGTTTACTATTTATTGCATTTTGTCTTTGATTTTTTCCCTTTTATTTTTGCCTGTTCTCACTTTAATCAAGCATTTTATGTGATTTTATTTTAACTCCAGTCAATATATCTATCATATTTCTTAAGAAATTTTTAGTTGTGATTCTAGAGTTTGTAATCTACATTTATAACTAATTTAAGCCCACCTTCAAATAACACTATATCACTTTACATGTAGTGGATTTGCCTTATAACAGAATATTCCTAATTTCGTTTTCCCATCCACTATGGCATTGCTGCCATTCATTTCACGTATGTCTATATTTCGACTACCCACTTGTTACTATTATGACTTTAAACAGTTATCTGTTTAAAGAATAAGAAAATGAAAAGATGTACTTCACTTTTATTTATTCCTTCCCTGACATTTCCTTTGCTTACATAGATGTGAGCTTCTTACCTGTAACCATTTTTTTCTTCCTGAAGAATTTGTCTTAATACTTGTAGAATAGATCTGTGGGCAATGGATTCCCTTCGTTTTTGTTTTTGTCTGGGAAAATCCTCATTTCTTCTTCACTTTTGAAGCATAATTGTGCTGAACATATAGTTCCACATTTGTATGTGTGTGTATCTGTGTCTTTTAATACTTTAAATATTTTACTTCAATCTCTTTTAGCTTGAATAGTTTTTGACAAGAAATATGTAGTTTTTTTTTTTCCTCTATAGGTTGTCTTCTCCCCTGCAGACTTCTTTCAGGATTTTCTCTTTGTCTTTGGTTTTCTGCAGTTTGAATGTAACATTTATAAATATAGGGCATTTTTGTATTTATCCTATTGCTGTTATTTGAAAATCCTGAATCTATAATTTTGTGCTTTTCATTAATTTTGGAAAATTTTGGGCTGTTATTACTTCAACTGTTTTTCTGCTTAGTTGTTTCTTGTATTTCAATTACACATGTTACAGTTTTTGAAATTATCCTGTAGGTTTTGAATGTTCTGCCCTGTTTTTCCTGTGGTTGTCTTTTATTTTGTTTTAGTTTTTACCTTTACATTTAAGTTTATGAAGTTTCTATTGGTCTACTTTCCATTCCAAAGATTCTTTATGTAGTCATGCAAATGTGTATTTTTTAAATTTTGTTTTTGTTTTTATCTTTACATTTAAGTTTAAGAAGTTTCTATTCATCTGTCTTCCATTCCAAAGATTCTCTTCCAGGTTTGTAAGTGTCAGCAGTGACTCTGAAGTCACCTGTCTCTCAGGATTTCAGGGTGACTACTTACCTGTGTTCTCAGTTTCCAGTGGGTACAAAAAATAGTTTTTTGTATTAGTCCATTCTTACATTGCTATAAAAAGGACACCTGAGAACTGGGTAATTTATAAATGAAAGGCTTAATTGGCTCACAGTTCTGCAGGCTATACCAGAAGCATAGCAGCTTTTGGGGAGGCCTCAGGAAACTTAGAATCATGGTGGAAGGCAAAGCAGTAGCAGATGTCTTCACATGGCTGAAGCAAGAAGAAGAGAAAGAGAAGGAAGGTGCTACACACTTTTAAGCAACCAGATCTCATGAGAACTCTATCACAAGAACAGCACCAAATGGGGAAATCCACCCCATCATCCAGTCACCTCCCACCAGGCCTCACCTCCCACGCTGAAGATTACAATTTGTCATGAGATTTGGGCAGGGACACAAATTCAAATCATATCAAGTTTGTTCAGCTTTTTCTTCTGGTAATGAGAGTGATGATTTCCAAGCTCTCCGCATTTTATAGTTGAAACTGGACTCTATGTATTCTGATCTACCAAATTGCCACACTTTAGTGACTCTTCATTTACAGAATTGTATTTTTTGGAACTTAAGAGGTAGAAAACATTTGTTTTTCCCCTGTTGTAGTCTATCCAAAGTTAAAAGTTTATGTTTGTTTGTTTTGCACATAAACCAGTTTTTATTACCAAGTGATATAACAAACAGACATCCTTAATGGTGAGATATGCAAATGAGATGAGTTGTGGGGAAGAACCCAATAATGCAGGGAGCGTTTATAAATAGACAGAGACTTAGGGAGGGATGAGGGTATAATGTTAGGCAGTTCCTAAATAACAACAAATATAGGCATAAAGCTGAAAGTGGAATTACATAGGAATATAGTCAGGCTTACATGAGATAATAAATATATACATTTTTAAAGCCTTTGTCAAATAGCAAGCTCTGTACAGAGTTTGGAATCCAAGTTTTTTTTAGTCTTTATTTCATCTTTTTTTTTAAACAGCTTAATGAAGTGTAATTTATGTACTGTAAAATCCCCTCATTCAATTTAATTCTTTTTTGAAATATTGTAATTAACAGTTTAGTATTCAGTAGATTTTTAGGATAAAGATGCTTAAGCTTACAAGCATGTTTTCTGCTTTACTGAGGTATGATAGACAAATAAAAATGATCACTTTGTGTCTTTTGATTGGAGAATTTATCCATTTACATTTAAGTTAACTATTGATAAGTGAGGACTTACTATTACCATTTTAATTGTTTTCTGTTTGTTTTGCAGTTGACTTGTTCTACTCTTGCTTTCTTCCTTTATTTGATTTTTTTTTTTTTTGGTAGCAATTCACTTTGATTATTTTCTCTTTATGTTTTGAGACTTTGTGGTTATCTTAAGGCTTTCATAAAAATATCTTATAGTTCTAACCATCATTTTAAGTTAATAACAACTTTAATTGCATATAGAGACTCTATGATTGAAAGTTTTATTATTTTTTACTTTTAAAAATAAAAATGTGAAATAGC